CATATGAGTGAAGTCATATGGTATTTGTCTTTCTCTGACTTATTTCACTTAGCATTATACTCTCTAGCTCCATCCATGTTGTTGTAAATGGCAAGATTTCATTCTTTTTATGGCTTATATTCCACTGTGTGTGTATTCACGCACACACACACACACACACCACATCTTCTTTATCCATTCCTCTACTGATGGACACTTGGGCTGCTTCCATAATTCGACTATTATAAATAATGCTGTTATAAACATTGGGATACATATATCCCTGTGAATTCGTGTTTTTTTTGGGGGGGGGGTAAATACCCAGTAGTGTGATTACTAGATCATAGGGTAGTTCCATTTTTAATTTTTTGAGGAGCCTCCATACTGTTCTCCAGAGTGGCTGCACCAGCTTGCATTCCCACCAACAGTGTAGGAGGGTTCTCCTTTCTCCACATCCTCACCAACACTTGTTTCCTGTGGTTTTGATTTTAACCATCCTGACAAGTGTGAGATGATATCTCAGTGTAGTTTTGATTTGTATTTCCCTGATGATGAGTGATGTTGAGCATCTTTTCATGTGTCTGTTGGCCATCTGGATGTCTTCTTTGCAGAAATATCTGTTCATGTCCTCTGCCCAACTTTAAATTGGATTATTTGTTTTTTGGGTGTTGAGTTGTATCAGTTCTTTATATATTTTGGATACTAACCCTTAATTGTATATATCATTTGCAAACATCTCCCGTTATGTAAGGTTGTCTTTTTAGTTTTGTTGACACCTAGTTCTGCTGTGCAAAAGGTTTTTATTTGATGAAGTCCCGATATTTATTTTTGCTTATATTTCCTTTGCCTCAGGAGACATACCTAGAAAAAAGTTGCTATAGCCAATACTGGAGAAATTATTGCCTGTGCTCTCTTCTAGGATTTTTATGGTTTCAGGTCTCACATTTAGGTCCTTAATCCATTTTGAATTTATCTTTGTGTATGGCATAAGAAAGTGGCCCAGTTTCATTCTTTTGCATGTTATCTGTCCAGTTTTCCCAACACCATTTGTTGAAGAGACTTTTTTCTATTGCATATTCTTTCCTCCTTTGACAAAGATTAATTGACCATACAAACGTGGGTTTATTTCTGGGCTTTCTGTACTATCCCATTGATGTATATGCCTATTTTTGTGCCAGTACCACATTGTTTTGATTACTACAGCTTTGTAGTATAACTTGAAATCTGGAAATTTGATACCTTCAGCTTTGTTTTTCAAGAATGTTTTGGCTATTCAAGGTCCTCTGTGGTTCCATACAAATTTTAGGATTGTTTGTTCTAGTTCTGTGAAACATTTTGATATTTTGGTAGGGAGTGCATTAAATCTGCAGATTGCTTGGGGTAATATGGACATGTTAACAATATTCTTCCAATCCATGAGTATGGAATGTCTTCCGCTTATTTGTGTCCCCTTCAATATCTTTCATCAGTGTGTTTTAGTTTTCAGAGTGTAGGTTTTTCACCTCCTTGTTTAAGTTTATTCCTGGGCATTATCTTTGATACAATTGTAAATGGGATTTCTTAATTTCTCTTTCTGTTGCTTCATTATTAGTATATAAAAATGCCATAGATTTTGTATCCTGCACCTTTACCAAATTCATTTATCAGTTCTAATAGTTTTTTGGTGGAGTCTTTAAGGTTTTCTATATATAGTATCATGTCATCTGCATAGTGAAAAGTTTACTTCTTCCTTACCAACTGGATGCCTTTGATTCCTTCCTCTTGTCTGATTACCATGGCTTCCAATCTGACCAGCTTCTGACCCTGGAGTTCATTATAAAAGTCCTTTCAAATATCTTAGTTGCAGGTTTTAGCTGAGACAAATAATAAATATTCCTGGCAGTATTGCGCTCTTTTTTTCTTCTTTTAAACCCAAAGTATATCAATCAGGTTACTCAGCCAAAACCAGTAAGTCTTTTAGGACATATCTGTGGACTCACAATGCATCTCCTAAGAGGGTGCAAAAAATACAGTCTTCCCAAGATCCAGAACCACTCCCAAGTACAGGCAACATAAAGAAGGCACTTTGTTTTTGCCTTTTATTGCTTAAAATGCTAATTTAAATACTAAATTATGTCAGTTATTTGAAAATAGGTCAACTTATATAGATAATAAAACTTTGATATGTATACAATGGCCTTTCTTTTTTTCTTTAAAGGCCTTTTAAAGTAGTGTTGACATCTGATTTCCAATTTAAAGTGCATTAGAATTGTTTCTTAGGAAACCAGTTGGCTCCTACCCTAATCTATAGTCCCATTAGTAAGGAAATCTTTTAAAATTTGCATTTTGTAGTTCTTTCTGCTAAATTGGTTGTAATTAGCATTGATGTAAAACACAGGTTTCAAAAATTTTCTTTTGTATAGACTTTGTACCATCTGTTTTAGTGATGAGGAGGGGGGTCAAAAAGGAACTCGGTGTTTAAAGGAGCTGCTCTGAATTAGGACCTTGGATTCTGTAAGGAAAGTCCCTTTAGTTTTGACCCTTTTTCTCCACAGGCAAGCACCTGGATACCCTGGGCTGCATACCTACCCCTCATGGCCTTTTCTCTTAACTGTCAGAGATGCTTGCTGCCTCTGGTTCTGCTGTGGATTGTAAGCTGCGGACTCTTGACATGCCTGAGTCATAGTGAGGGTGGTTGTGGTTGGTTGCACACATATTGGTGAATTAACTGCTATTTAAACAATGCTGCTTTTAAGAGTTTTTTCAAAGTACAATAGATTTTTGAAGTTTTGGGTAACTGGAAAATTTTGTTTTTGCATTTAAAAGTGTTTTTGGAAAGGCTGAAACAAAGTGTAGACATACAAAACTAATCATTTTTCCTTTGCAAAATTACACATAGGTGTTTACTATTCTGTAACTCTGTTTATATAACTTCAGTAATACTTAAACTTGAAACTTTTTTAAATCACTTTAAGGATTCTGGCTTCTGCCATATTCTTGTACATTCTAACAAAGTTCTTTGAAATGTTTGTGAGTTATTTTCTGTACCATCACAGTGTATTGCCACTGAAGACTGTAAAGACAGAGCACACTTTTTTGGAGGCTTGAGACAAAGTGTTTAAAAATTTTCATAATTTGAGTAATAAAAAGCCAATTTGTATAATTTTTTTAATAATAAATACCTATTTTGGAAAAAAAAAAAGACAGTTCCCCTGAGAGCTGGCAACAGTCAGTAGGATGTCAGCGACAAATGAGGTACAACCCACAGCTCGGTCCAACAGTCTTCTCAGGACCCTAGCCTGACAGTTGAGGGGCCTGCACGTGCAAGAACAGACAGGCAGGCAGAAAGCCGAGCCAGATTCTCAGGACACAAAGCAAGACAAACAGGAAAAGCAATAGCTGCCCCTGGGAGTGAAAGAATCAACAACCAGTGGGTATATCCCGAAACCAAATTCACAAGAGTCTGGGTTTGCAAAAGAAGAGACAATATGAAATTTTACCTAATTCTCTTTGCCAGCTTCTGCCAGGTTCCTCAGTATCCTGTCTGCAGGCTCTAGAGCAAGTGAGGTGTCCCATCTGGGTCACCAGAAACTGTCGAAAAGGAAAAATTTATTTTCCTTCTACCTTTTATAGTGAGTTCTTGGCTGAGACCGCTTTCCCTCTAGGGCAGCTTGTAAATGGATAAGCTTATCTAAGTTAAAATTTTCCTACTGTGGCTACTGTAATTCAAGATTATCCTTAGTGATATGTTGCCATTTCTGCAAATATGTACAACATCCAGAACCATAGTTTTTAAACATATAAAGAGCTGGGGTATGAGAAGATGGATCATTCGATTCTTCAGAACCTTAGGGTCCCATTTCTCCTTTGGTTTCTGTTTGACAAATTTGTCACTTTTACCTGTGGTTCACACCAACAAAACCAGTAGCTCCCAAATTGGAACTATAGACTAACCAGCAGAAGCCAATAAATCAAGACTGTGGACTAACACAGGGCTAGGGACTTCAGGCTCCAAATGGAACCATCCGCCAGCTCAAGCGGACCTGCTAAACACTGGAGTAAAAAAGCCCATTAGACCAGGCAGCTCAAATGCAAAGCTCATATACAAGAGGAACTTACCCACGGGCTGCAGAGACGTGAGAAAGACCAAGAACTCAGAGTTCAGCAGGTACCAGCACCTGTGCTGCTTGTCATGCCCAGAGCCCTTAGCAGCCTGCTCTGCACCCCATCCTTCTCATCAAAGCTGTTCAAAGAAATTTTTCCAGTCAATTGATGGACCTAGTTGGCTTTTATTTAGTGATTCATGAATCTGACAGCGCCTAATCTAGCAGATAAAAAGCAGCACCGAAGACCTGTACAAGGTAAGAGAAGTCAGCAGGAGGGCGCCTGGGTGGCTCGGATGGTTAAGCGTCTACCTTCGGCTCAGGTCGTGATCCCGGAGTCCTGGGATCGAGTCCCGCATCGGGCTCCCTGCTCCTTGGGAGCCTGCTTCTCCCTCTGCCTCTCTCTCTCTCTCTCTCTGTCTCTCATGAATGAATAAATAAAATCTTAAAAAAAAAAAGCGGGAACAGGAAGTTATGCTAGGCATTTCCTGATGGGTAAACATGGTTACTCTTCTTATATGGGGGCACAGGGAAGTCTTGGGGTAGGTCATCCCAACTTGTGCTGAGCAGGGAAGTGCTTATTGGTTGACCTAGACCCTCCTTTTCTGGGAGAACAAAACATAGAAACTTAAGTTTTGGTTTGCTGACATGGGGTTAACATTAGCAACTCCATTTTGGACCTAATCTGGTTACTTGAACAACACTGATATAAGCTATATCCATAGTTCTTTTTCCCCAAATGTGTTGACCCTGCTCTAGATTATATCTCAGGTTCCTCTGGTAAGTATACCTGAGCTGGGATTTCTCCAGAGTTCCCTGGTTGTGTCCAACCTGATCTGGTATATTTCCCTCATCCCCTAGGATGCGTATAACAGTGGGTGTCTCCCAGTTCTCCAGGGGGGTCTACACTGACCTTGAGTGTCTCCCCCAACTCCCTAGGTTTGACTGCCCTGATGTTGCAAGTCTGCCAATTTTCCCATGGGTCTACACTGATCAAGGAATTCCCCTGAATCTCCAGGTATGTCTCCTCTGACCTGGGATGTGTCTATAGCTCCACAGGTGTGTTAATCCTCACTAGAATCTAACTCCTCCAGAAGAGTGAACTCTGAACGTGGATGTCTGTCTAATACCTCAGGTAATCTACTCTGAGCTGAGATCCCCCTCGCTGTCCAAGTATGTCTACTTTGATATGGGATGTCTCCTGGGATATGCAGAGGTATCTACACTGAGCTGGAATATCTTCCTGGTCCCCTAGTTGTGTCTCATCTGTGTCCTCATAATTCTCCTAGTGTGTCTTCTCTGACCTGGATTATCTCCCTAATGACCCAGGTATGTCTGTCCTATCCTGGGATAGCTCCCTAATCCCAGCATGTCTACCCTAAACTGGGGTGTATCCCTTAGTCCCCAGGTTTGTATATATTGATCTGGGAAGTCTCCCTTCTTCCACAGGAGTTTCTACCCTAAATGGGATGTCTCCCTCGTTCCCCAAGTGTGTCTGCACTGATAGGAGATAAATCCCTAACACCAAAGCAGAGTCTAGTACAAACTGGGATTTTTCTAATTCCCAGTGTGTGCCTGCTTTGTCTTGGGTTGTCTTGCTAAACTCCATGTATGTCTACACTTACTGGGGGTATTTATCTAATTATCCTGTGTGTTTACACTGACCTGGAAATCTACCTAATTTCCCAGGTGTGTCGATTCTAAAATGATTTGTCCCAACATTTCTCCAAGTGTGTGAACCCTGGCTTGTCCCTCTAATTTCCAAGGTGTCCACCCTGAACTTGGATGTCTTCATAATTGACCCTGTGTTTCTACACTGACTTGGGATGTCTCTTTATTTCCCCAGATGTGTCTACACTGACGCAGGATGTCTCCTATTCCTTGGTGTGTTTGCTCTGACTTGAATGTCTAATTCCTCAGGCATGTCTACTCTGGCCTATGATGTCCCTGTAATACCCAAGGTGTCCCTAACCCGACTCTGGGTGGCTCCCTTCTCCCTCAGGCATGTCTACTCTGACCTGTGATGTCTAGTATCTGTAGTGTTTACTCTTACACTGGATAGCTCCCTAATTCCATGAGTATACGTACAATGACCTTTGATGTCACCCTATTTTGCAGGGTTGTCTACCCTGCACTTGGGTGACTCCAATTTGCCATGTATGTCTCCCCTTATCAAGGATCTCTCTCTAATACCACAAGTGTCTCTATGCTGAAGTGGTATGTCGCCCATATTCCCTAGGTTGGTCTACACTGATGTGGTTGTCACTATTTCCCCAGCTGTGCCTTCTGACCTGGGATGTTTCCCTACTTCCCCAGGTGTGTTATTCCAGGTTATTCCTAATTCCTAAGTTGTGTCTACCATGAACTTGGAAGTCTCCCTGATCACACTAACCTTTGATGTTTCCCATATTCCCCAGATGTGTTTGCTGTGATGGGAGATCACTCTCTAGTTCCCTGGCTATATCTGCTCTGACCTGGGATGTGGCCCTTGTTCTGTATGAATATATACCCTGTGACCAGTGAGGTCTTTGAAATACACAGACCCAGGGTGTCTCTCTAGTTCTCTAAGTGTCTCTACTCTGGTATGTACTTAGAAATGTATTCCTAATCCAGTGTGCTAACACTGAAAGGGGGGTGTCTCCCTAATCACCCAGGTTTGTCTTTATTGACCAGGAATGTCTAATTCCCAGCTGTTTCTACCTTGATCTGATATGTCTTTTTAATAACCAGAGGTGTCTTCTCTGACCTGAGATGCCTACCTTATCATCAGTTGTGACTCTGATCTGGGATGTATCCCTAATTTACCAAATGTGTCTTCAATGACCTTGGATATCCCCCTAACTCCCCAGGTGTTTCTACCCTGACCTGAAATGCTGCTTCACTGTCCAAGTGTGTCCTCCCTAACCTTACATCTAGGAATTTTCAGAGATAATATATCTTCTCTGACCTGGTATGTCGTGTCCACATGGGCATGAGTGAATCTCTAATCCCAGTTGTTTTTATTATGACCTGGTTTGTCTAGTTCTTCAGGTGTATGGACACTGACCTGGGATGTGTAATTCCTCAAGTGTGTGTCCACTGACTTGGGATGACTCATTAAAACAGGGGCTTATCTGTACCACTCTGGAAGTCTCCCTCTTTGCTTTGCTGTGTCCTGACTTGGCACATCTCAATTCCACAGGTCTGTCTACCCTGACCTTCGGTGTCTCCACAATTCCTGAGATGTATCTAAACTAACTTGGATTGTTTACTAATTACCCATATGTGTCTACCAAAAGTGGTATACCAATTATGTCTGCACTGACCTGAGCTGTCTTAATTCCCCACGTGTGTCAACACTAACCTAATATGATTGCGTAGATTCCCAGTTGTGTCTCCCTCAACACTGGATGTCTTTCTAATATTGCACGTATGGCTATACTAACCTGGGATGTTTCCCTAATTCTCCTGATGTCTACCCTTGACCTGCTGTGTCTACCTAGTATGCCAGGTATGTCTACTATGACCTGGAATGTCTAGTACCCCAAGTGTGTATACTCTGACGAGGGAGGTCTCCCCGGTTCCCCAGTTGTGCCTACCTTGATCTAACTTGGACTTTCTCTTATTCCCAGTTGTATCCAGGATGTCTCCCTAGTTACCAAGGTGTGTCTATATAGTTCACTGATGATTCTTTCCCCCCAGGTAATCTACCTTGACCCAAGTTGTGTCCACAATGACCTGAGATGTCTCCCTATTTCTCCAGGTAGGTCTATTCTGATTTGTGATGTCTCTAAGACCCTAGGTGTGTCTGTCCTGATTGCAGTGAGTCTTTAATTCACCAGATTTGTCAGCCTGACTTGGGATCTCTCCCCAGTTACCCACATAGGTCTTTCCTGATAGTGACTATTGTGTGTAGCCTGATCTGCAATCTCTCCCTCTTTCCATAGAGGTTTCTTCTCTTATCTAAAATAGGAGACATCTACTTTATTCTAAAAGAGATGTATCTCTTTTGACTATGGATTTTTCCCTAATGTCCTGGGTTGTGTCTCTGCTGACTTAAAATGTCTGTTTCCCTAGGGAAAGTTACCATGACCTAGGATGTCACCTTGATTCCTCAAGTATTTCTATACTAACTTGGGAAGTCTGTTTCCCCAGGTCTATGTTCTCTTAACTTGTATGTCTTTAATTCCCCAGCTCTAACTACTCTGATCGGGGATGTATCCTTACTTACCCCAATGTATATAACCTAAACCTGGATGTTTCCTTAATAGTCAGTTGTGTGTACATTTACCTGGGATATCTTTTCCCCAGGTGTGACTACTCTTATCTGAACTCTCTCTACCCAGGACTGTCTGCAGTCAAGAATGTCTACCTAATTTCCCAGGTGTGTCTCTTCTGACCTTTGTTATCTCTCTTATTCCTCGAAATGTCTACACTCATGGGGGATGTGTTCATAATTCTCAATATGAAGATCATCATATTGATGTCTTCATAGATTCTCAAATACACCCAGGATAATTTCCACATCCCAGATGTCTACCCTGACCTAGAATTTCTCTCTAAACCCTAATAGTAGTACTCCTACCTGGGAGGTGGACCTTATTCCCCTGATCTGTCTCCCTTGACCAGTGATGTTTCCCTGTAACATGGGTGTGTCTACTCTGACCTGGTGTATCTAATTCACCAGTGTGTCTATACTGATTGGAATGTCTAATTCCTAAAGTGGGATTTTGACCTAGTTGCCCAGGAGTGCCTACCTTTACAAGATATTACTGCAAAATTCCCTTGGTGTGTCTAACAAACACTTGCAATTCCTTAGAAGTGATCCTATCTATTGCAGAATATCTACAATTACAACAAGAATATGTCATTGCTAGTACATGTTTTGCTTATATAAATAACTCAGAAAAAAATTGAAACCCAATTACACATTATGAAAAACAATGCAGATTGGCTTGTAAAAAAAAAATCTCATAATTTGATCTTTTTAATTGGTTAAATTTGGGCAAATGGGCATCTTGGATTTGGGGTATTTTCAAACATTTGATATTATACTCCTGTTACTCATGTTAATAATACTCCTGTGTATTATATCTTCTCACGAGTCTTTAGTGCTTTTCAGTAAACACTGACTAATCAAATGATCTCCATGTGTACTGAACAACAAAGCAACATGAACAAGAATTATCAGAAGAACCTAATGAGATTCTGATTCACTATCTTCAGGTCCAAAGAAGGTCCATAACCAAGAGTAATGCTAAATAGCCACTCTCGGTTCAACTGAGAGAATGATCAAAAGGAAGGGATTTTTTAAAAATGAAGTAGAGACCACAGTTTCAATATGCCCCTAGACCAAAGACTCATGTTCACTTAACCAGATCTTAAAACTGTCCCAATTTCAAAAATACTGATTTTAAACAAAATTTAAGCTTGATTCATGTCAGCATGACATGCTAATCAGCTAATGAGCTAAAATCAAGTAAGCTGATGTAATGAAAAGGGAATGTAAATTACTAGTAACAAATCACAATGGAAAATGTACTTAGTTTATAAAGCATGAATGTGGAACAGCCTAGAGCAGAGTTTCTTACCACTTTCAGTTTGAATGTATCCCTGTTTCCAAAATGCTTGTTTCTCACTCAATAAAATATTCATCTCAAAGCTCTCTGAATTTTATTTTTCTAAGAGATACACCTACAAAATGAGACATCCCAGGTTAGTGTAGACACAGCAGATGAAACAGGGAGACACCACGGATCTGGGCTGACATGGAGAGCTAAGATGACATCCTACAATAAGGTGGACATCCCTGGAGACGAGGGAGGCATCCTAGGCAAGAAGTGACAAACTTGTGGAATTAGACATCCAAGATCAAGGTAGGCACAGCTAGGGAATTAGGGAGACAGCTCAAGTCAAAGTGGACATAACTGGAGTTAAGGGGACATCTCAAGTCAGGGGTGACGGGACAGGAAAATTAGCAAGACCTCAAAGGTCCGAGTAGACACACTTGGGAAGTCGGACATCCCAAGTCAGGATAGA